ACCCACAGCTTCGACATCCCAACTCGTTTTCGGATTACCCCCCCCCCCCCCACGTCCCGAATATCGTGACCGTAGGCCTACGTTGAGCCGCTTAAATTTGTGCCCAACTGTTGACGGACGCATGGCCGGACGCACGCACGCTCATGCGATTCTACAAGCTGCATCGGATTATGTCAGATGAGCTAACAATAATCAAAGGAGGTACAGGAGAGGAGGTTACAATGGTTTGGACATGTGATAAGAAGAGAGGAGAACTACACAGGAAGACGCATGCTGAACATGCAACCACCAGACAGAAGAGGAAGGGGGAGAATGAGGACAAGATAGAAGGACTGCGTGCAGAATGGCTTGAATGAGAAATGATTGACGACACACGAAGAGGATAGGGGAAAATGGAGGATAAGAGTCCACTACAGCGACCCCACTTGAGTGGGACCAGTAATGCGAAGGAAGAAGATGCGCGCACGCACGCACGCACGCACGCACGCACGCACGCACGCACACATACATAGATAGTTTTCTTTACTCCCCCTTCCCTACAGAACAAGCACGGGCGAATAGAGTGACATATCGGCGCCTGAGAGGACTGCCTCAATAAATATATATCTGTCACGTTTGTCCGTGCATCGGGGAAGTCTGAGTAAGACACTCGGTGGATATTGATGCATAGATAGCCATTAAATGGTAAGCCTATACCGCCCATACCCGCGTTGCAGAATATATCTCCACCCTGGTTTATCGCTGCTCCAACTGTTTGCGACAGTTAGCTAACGAATCTGCTACACTGAACATCAAAACCATTTCGAGATAATGGCTTTTAAATGAATGGCAGCAATTAAATTAATTTGATAATACTGGGCATTTCGCTGCGAACTCGTAAACGCGTAATGCAAAACCGGAGAATTTTGAAATGGTCCCGTTTCTCAAAAAGCAGAGCAGACGAGTTAAATATAGCTATCGCTGCAGTGCAAAACCGCAATATATTATGTTATATATATATATATATATATATATATATATAATCACAAATTACTACTATATATATATATATATATATATATATATATGACTTATATCTAATGACTGCTGCTACTGTTGTTTTTGTTGTTGTTGTTGCTACTGCCGATGCTGCCACTGCTGCTGTTGTAGTTGCTGATGCTGTTGACGCGGCTGCTACTGCTGCTGCTGCTGCTGCTGCTGCTGCTGCTGCTGCTGCTGTCACTACTAATGATGTGGCTACTGTGGCTGTCACGAATTACTATGCAATGACGTCTGTCAATCACGTTAATACAGAATACAGCCTCTAAGTGCACATATCACATAACAGCAAATTGGTAAGGTGTAAATTGATAGCTCGCACACAATAACAAAAGATGCTGCGTTTCTGCATATACTTTAATAATACCATTAGCAGCCCACTGCTAATGGAACAAAATAGATGCACATCTAATTACAGATGCTTTGATATTTGTAAATTGAATCTATGATGTTTAAAATAGGGTTGAAATTGTGAGGTTTGACATTTAACTACAAGTCAAACGGTCACACCGACATTGGCTGACTGTTCAGTGGTCAGCTACCTAACAGGTGCGCACTGCACAATGTTGCCAGTCCCATAGGTCAAGTTAAATATCAGTCATTGTCCTACATTGTCCTACATCCGACATTGTCCTACCCCCAGTACTTTGTCAGGTGACCTGCAGTTTATTCCTGCAATTTATTTGCTGCTTGACCTTCCATATGCCAAATATTATCATTGCAAGCAAAACAGTTTATATGGATCCATGTCACCAAGAGCTAATAATACCTTATATTATAAGAGGTACCTTATTGGGATAGGTAGGATAGGATTAGGATAGGTATAGGATAGGATAGGTATAGGTAGGATAGGTATAGGATAGGATAGTAATAGGTATTATTAGGTCTTGATGTCACTACTGTTGATGAGAGAAAACGAGTTCACGCACGGATGGACAGACGTACCCTGAACCTGACACTAGTGCCGTTCTCCGAACACCATCTTATTAACAGCAATCGTGAGGTAAAACCTCCAATGACCAAATAGGTAGTTACACAACATTCCATGAGAATGTTAAATCACGCGAAAGCAAAAACCACTCCACTGAGAAACTGAGTCAACAAGACTGTACAGTGTTATTCGATGCCAATGATTTCACAGATAATCCGCCGACGTCTGCTTGATCCATGGCACTGTGTCTGAGCAGCATCGTCACACAGCTTGCGTGCTGCCCTCCGGTGGCCAAATGCAGAGCTGTGCGACCTTTGGCATCAATAGTATTGATGTCTGCATCAAGGGAGATGAGATGTTCCAGCATGGACACATGGCCTTCCTGTACAGCAACTCCCAAACATCAAACAATAATTCGATGACTAAATTAACTGAAATCGACAGAACATAATTTTCTCCTGCACAAAAAGCAAAGAAAGAAAGCACGGAATTTGTGAATTATTATCTATATAGTATTACTGTAACCGCCGCGCGTAATTTCACGTATCTCCTCCGAAACCGCCGTAAGGAATGTGCACATTTTCCTCTTACCGCGGGGTTTCCAATGTGGCAAAGACGATGCGCTACGTCACTAGGCTTTATTTTGCATGACAACGTTACTAAAGCAACATTTCAACGACAACAACATTTCAGCAGGTTCACCTTCGACAGGTCTCCATTGCGATCGGTAAGTGCTGCCATCTCTACGAACAATTATTAACTAGAAAAAGCATGCGTGGCGAGCGTTACACAGGCGAAGCGGCACACAGGCAAGATAAATCTTAAATAACTACTCATAATATCGTTATTAGTGTAATTAGCGTTCCATTGCGTGGAGTGAGTAGATACGGCTTTTCATGTTCAAGTGCGTTCATGAGTTTGTACGCCGTATCATAATCATGTGTATGCATGTACCGTTGTACGTGTTAACTGTATGTAGATGTAGGCGCCTACGAGGCTACGTATGTGACAGTAGATTGAGATGTGTGACTGTAAACTGAGTGTTACGTATGTCACTGTAGACTAAGATGTAACAGTAGACTGGGATACACGTATGTGACAGTAGATTGAGATGTATGACTGTAAGTGTAATTAATAGTGATAACAGTATTAGTATAGCATTCAAGAAGCCATTCAATGTGATAATGTGAGCTTTTCATTGTGTGGAGTGAGTAGATACGGATTTTCATGTTCACGTGCGTTCATGAGTTTGTACGCCGTATCATAATCATGTGTATGCATGTACTGTTGTACGTGTTAACTGTATGTAGATGTAGGCGCCTACGAGGCTACGTATGTGACAGTAGATTGAGATGTGTGACTGTAAACTCAGTGTTACGTATGTGACTGTAGACTGAGATGTGTGACTGTAAACTCAGTGTTATGTATGTGACTGTAGACTGAGATGTAAACACGCAGCTAGGGCAGTGCATACCTCCTAGACCGAATAATTCTGTCCCAGATAACGTTTTAGATTTTGGAGCCTCACCAAAATACACGTATAATGTGACTGTAGGTT